CCGCGTCCACCACATAGAGCAATACTGTTTAGATGGATAGATAAATACTTCATTGATCCCCGTAGGAGAACTTCACGTGTCCAGTAGCTGCAAAAACACATGCGTCCACACAAACAAAACAAATAAATTGATCATTCTAAAAAGCTAACAATAATAATAACCACACAGCAGCAGAAGTGGAGTTGGTTTGGACCACTTTATCTGCTCTAGTCCAAAATAAAATTCTGATTTCTTTGTTAGGATTTTTGTTAAGTTAGCATTCCTCATGTGGATTTTTGCCTGATCCGCTTGTTTCGGACCATGAATCCTCTCCCCTCTGGTCTGAACCAGTGCAAAACTATGAACCCTGTACTGCAGTAACATCTCAGGTAGAAAGAAGCTAGAGTAATTAAACCAAAATACCAAGGACTTGCAGCCATTTTCAGCGCATCCACTTGTTTATCTGCTTTTGTCAGCAACTAAAAGTGAAGATGATGTCAACTTGGAGAAAATATATTTTTGGGTGTAAATATGTGATGCACTATTTGGCCCAAAGAGAAAGAGAGCTTGACTTTTTTCACGGGGATCTACCTCTGACGAATCTGTTCATCTCCAACACTTCACTAAGGCTGCGGTCACATGCGCACCCTAAAGCCCAGTTAAAGTGGGCCTGAGCCCACTTTGTGATTTGATCCGGGCTTTAATTGCTATGTGATTGCGGCAAGTGGGCTTGGGGACGGCTGCAGGAAGTGGGCCTGGGCACGGTTGAGAGAGGTGGGCCACAGCACGCTTTGTAAAGTCCAGATGAGGGGGGTCACTGTGGCAGGTAGTGGGGAGTGGGGGATGAGGTGTGGTGGGGACTTGATATTGGGCGTCACATTACGTCTTCCCTTTTGACGCGCATTTTCACGCATGTCTCTGCACTTTCGTATTCTCCGCTTGTGTTAAACCTTTATTTAATCGCCAGAACACACCAACACACACACATTATCCTGCCTGTCTCCGGTCGCCCTGCTGGTACGCCACACAGGTGCGCTCCCGTGTCCGCGGCGCACACACACGTTACCCACTGAACTGCTGCACTTTGCACCAGAGCAATGTGGACAAGTGTGAGATGTGTCTTTTCCTAAGCAACGCGATCCGTACTCGAGCTGTTAGCGCTACAGTAGCAGAGTGTAAACAGGAAGAGAAACAGAAACTTAACTCGGACAACGAGGTCGTCGCTGGACCGAGCGTTGTACTACGGCACAGTTGCTCTGGCACGGTTGCAAGAAGAAGCTCTTATGACCAAGGGCCGTGCTTCACACATAGACTGTATATAATAACGGACAGAGTCACGCCTATCTCCGCCGTTCATAGGAGTTGGCCATGAAAAGTGCTTTCATGGAGCAATCCAAGATGGCCGTGAGTGGTCCCGCCCACAAGAAAATTGTGAAAAAACGCATCTGCGCATGCGTCAGCCGGCGCAGCTCCATTCATTTGAGCAAGAGACTTCAAAAATTCACAGCAAGTAAACTAGAGTGGACCAAAAAAATTCACCCCCCTCAGCATTGACACACATGTGGAACGGAGCTTTGGGCCAAGAGACAACTTTCGGTCCATCCTGTAAAGACGTTTTTGAGAGGTCTGCTAATGCTATATGTTAGCATTGGCTAATTATTCCTCTGGGTCCACCCCCATCGGCCCGGGGTGGTATTGCAGCATGTCAGCACACGTCATTTTGGCCACTTTTGAGCTGGGACCCTCCCCCACTGGCTTCACACCCCTGTGGCGACGATCCGGGCCACTTGGCCTAGTTCGTTTGTAAGACCTATGTGACCGTGCCCTTATATTGTTCCCGAACTACAGTTATCATTGAACTGGACTCACTCAAAATGTAATCTGGAAACCCGTGTTATTAAACGTACTAATTAGTGTCTGATTGTGGATCGAGGACATAGGGCTCGATGTGTCGGATTGCCATTGTTGGAAAAGGTTCATTGGGGGGGGGGGGCTCACAGGCAGAGGAGCAGTCAATCAATCAATCAATCAAAGTTTATTTGTAGAGCGCCTTTCATACACATGGCAACACAAAGCGCTTCACAGTCCACATCACAAATCATCACATAAAACAAACACCAGAATCACAATTAAAACATTAAAATCACACAAAAGATTAAAACACAATTAAAACATTAAAATCACACAAAAGAATAAAACAATTAAAACTTTCAAAATTACACAAGAAATTTAAAAAAATAAATAAATGACAGCAGTGCATTAAAAATGGAGATAAAATCCTTCAGTTGTATGCACAGGCAAACAGAACAGTCTTTAACCTGGATTTGAACATTGACAGAGTAGACGCCTCCCTCACATTTTCAGGGAGATTGTTCCAGATCTTAGCTGCATGGATCTGAAACGCAGCCTCCCCATGTTTGGTTCTCACTCTGGGCACCAGCAGGTGTCTAGAGTCTCCTCTCTAGATCAGCCTGTTTTTTTTGAGTGCTATATGGTGTATCACTCACATTTGCATCTATGTGCATAGGACGGACTGTGAAATGTGAAGAAAAGCGCAATATGGAATAGGCGGCACGGTGGTGGAGTGGTTAAAGCATTTTACAACATAAAGGTTCTGTGTTTCTGTCTACATAGGTTTCCTCCGGGTTTACTCCGGATGCTCCGGTTTCCCCTACCACTAAGTGCTGGACTCCACCGGCTGCGTCTCCTTTTACTGGCGTAGGCTGCTGCCCGTCAGACGTGCATAAAAAGGAATAGTGGCCACACCGGCTGCAGCCGCGCGCAGCTCTGGCTGTGCGTTTATCAGCAAAACTCAGCAATTTACTTGCACTTATCGCTTAGATTGTGCATGTCCTCTCTGTGAGAAAATGAAAATTTGTATCGTCAAAAGTGGACAATAATTCATCAGTCATCAGTATTACTGTATTTAACTCTAGCTCACGTTAGATCAACATGATTTGATTTACATATCTTGAGCAACTGAATTATTTCAACTTTTACGACCCCTTTCTCAACTTTTGGCTGTCCAAAGAAAATAAAGCAGGTTCCTGGTCCACAGGTTGTTTCCATCAGTGAGAATCTGCAGTGTTATTTGGATCAGTGTTGGGAAAAGTGTGCATCACCTAGGCTGACCTTGGGTCTCTGTGGGAAAACGGAGAATAACTGAACAGTTTTGGACCTCGGCAGCATTGCTGCACAGATCAGTGTGACAGTCTCATGAACCCCTTTTTCCACTGCAGCGTGCCATGATTTCTAATACTTCATGCAGGCAGAATTTGACATCTGCTCAAACACAATCATAAGGAAACCAGAGTCCATTCTGCCGTCATGAGACGGTGGCACAAGACATGACCTTTGTAAGATGTATGCTTTCTTTTCTTGGATAGCGTTCATATATTCTTATAGGCTGTATATATGTCTAAGACCTCAGTTACACAAATAAGCTCAGAGTTCAGATTAGCAATAAAAAACATTGGAGGGAAAACATTGGGCTTTCTTTCTCCACTGCTGCATACATCTCAATGTTCCCACGCTGCCCTTTACCTGACTTACCACAATTTGAACCACATCACTTGAGTCCAATTGGCTACTTTCACCATGTGACCCACTGCCATCCTAAAAAAGCCCCGCCTTTTCTAGACTGGACCAAGATTTTCCCATGGGAGCTTCCTGCAGAGTGGTGCACTGTGAGCGTCTGTGTGTGAGTGTTTGAGCATGTTTCCCCCCATTCTCCATGTGTCCCCTCCCTCTCTTTCCTTGCTCCTCTCAACTATCCCCTTTCTCTCCTCTTTCTTTCACCTCCCATCCTTTGAAACACAGTATCACACACTTTAGATAGCCTTTGTTGTCACGGCAAGCAGCATTCTTTCTCTGGCACGGCCACACGGAGTGTGAGAATGCAGGAGTTTCCCTGAAAAACATAAAGAACAATGGGCAGAATGAGTGAGAAAATACAGATGTAACAAATACACCAAAGCCACGTATAGTGGGATCCCACTAGAATGTGTGTGTTGGTTAATTTGATTTTGGTTACACTGAAGGGAGGAGTAGTAGTATTCTGGGATCTGTCCATTAGGAATTTTCTTGCTACTATTCTTATAAGCACAAAGTTTTGGCATGTGTTTAACCTGGAAAAAGAGCAGGCCATTGGAAACGCCATCACGGCTGTGCTGAACCAAAATTATTGCACACAATGTATTTGTGTGTGTTTGACTTTGATGTCATTTTTATGGTTTCCCTAAGTAGAGCTGATATTTCACCTCCATTGCCTTTCAGACCACGTTAGATTAGCCGTTTTGTCTAATTGACATATTTACTTGCATTATTTGAATAGCTTTTCCTCCAACTTCTGTATACTACTTCTAACTGGCTGTGTTTTGATTAATTAATATGCTAAATTGTTTCCATCCAGGTTGCGTGCATTGCAGACTGCTGTGCGTGTGTGCTCGCCTCTGCACCACTAAGCCTTGGGAGTTCAGAGCAGGTTCTGACTTGCACAACTCTGGGAAAACTTTTAGCTGAGCAAATAGCTGGGTCTGTCTGTTTTCCTGGCTGCTCTTAAGTGTGAGAGCCATGTCTATACACTGAGAGCATTTGTATTCACAGCGCTGAAAGCATACAGTAGTCTAGTCGAGACGTGTGAGCTGTTTTTTCTGGTCAACTCTCTGCGTCTTCTGTCATCCTCGCCTCAGGTCTTCCACATGATGAGACGACAAAGAAGTTTTTCAGACAGAGACAGGGTCTATTCCCAGACAAGACAGGAGATGACACCTCTGCTATTCCCACACCTCCACTGTCTAGCCATGCTCTCCTGCCTTAACCTCACAAGCCACTAGCAAACACACTGGGACCAGCCTTTATGATTCCTCACCACCTGTATGCTGGACTGTCTGATCATCTTGATGTACTCTTGTTCAAAACATTTGAACCAGCCTCTACTCTAAAAAGGCACCATTTATTTAGATTAAATATGAATTAAGTTAAGCGAATGAGTTCTCACCTCTAATCCTCTGTGTTTTCAGGCTTGCAACAATGATGAGTATGTGGCAGTGCCCAGAGGAGATATGATCAAAATGCTCAAACAAAGAGGTTAGTCATACCATTTTGGAGCTTTCTTATTTTCCAGAAAAAATATGTGAAACAAATGGTGGAGCACTGAAACTTTATAAGAGATCAAGGACTAAAGAAATCCATCCATTTTCTTCTCCTTCATCCAATTCTGGGTTGTGGGGGCTGCAATTCCAAGAGAGAACAGTGAACAGAGCCAGTGACAAAGGACAGTCTGGGCGGTGGCCAACATACACTGTCCATAGATGCGAACACAGCTCTGACTTCGATCTCCGTACTCCTGGAGAACCCCCAAAGGACAACTCGGGGAACCGAGATTCTACTATCTGTTGAAGTCTCTTCTTCATTATCGTGGCGTAGACCTTACTAGGGAGAAGGTAGTTATCCCCCATAGGAAACGCTTACCTTTTCCCTCGACAAATCTCCCCTGCGCCCCTTGACCACAGTCCGGGGGCACACATGAAAGGTGTAACACAAGCAAGAGAGAGTAGAATGTGAAAGTATGCAACTGCAGATAAAGGGGTGTGTAAAAATGCATGTCACAGTGGGCGAAACAATAACAACGTATTCTTGTATAGCCCTAAATCATAACAGAAGTCGTCTCAGAGGACTTAACAAAACCATTGAAATCACCAACACTGATCACAGAAGACAAGACACAAAATATACACATATGTATTGGTCCATAGGGAGAGACCAATGTCCATGAATGTTGATAAATGTCCATACATGTAGTAGAATGTTAAGGTGTCCTGGATCATCATCATAGTCCTACTTGTTGGACACTAAAGCCTAGTGTATAGTTGTGCGGCGCGGAGCTTACGGTGGTGACGTGATGTTACTTGCGCAACGCGTGGATCACCGCAAGGCCCTTACTTACCCTGCCGCACACTCTCAAAAATGTCTAACTACGCGAGGGTCGCTGTAGAGAAGCTCCACTGTTATTGGTCCGTGTGTGATTACTTTCTGTGAAGCATCGAGGGTAACCCACTGTGGACTAGACTAGAGTACTGTTGCATATCTAACATATATATAACTTATATCTAACATATATATAACTTATATCTAACATATATATAACTTATAAACTGTGCAGTCGTTTGTTTTGCTCTGTTCCTGTCTTTGTTTTAATCGTAGCTGCGTCTGTTCCATTCCTCCTGCACTTATAAATAGTTCATGTTTGTCTCAGATATTTACCACTTATTGTTTTTCTGTTTGTGCTGAATACACTTTAATGATAACTATGTTTCCAATAAGAACTGTGTCTTTATTCACAACATCACAGTTAAATGAGTTGAAACGATTAATCCATAGAACTATTACATAAACCTACAGTAGAAACACATGTGATGATCTCAAACAGCTCGGTTTGTTCATGTTTTTGTTCTGAAGAGGAGAAAGAAGCAGCGTAAATGAGACCACTTTGGTTTCTCAGGTAACTCCTGTGAGTTCGCCATCATGTGGTGGGGTGTGGGATTACAACATTCTCCTCAAAACTCCGCAAGGGGAACGTGCAAGTGTACCCCCAACTGTGTCTACGTAGGTCCAGCGCAAACCGCCTTATGAGTTTCGATTGCCGCAAAGCGGTCTTTGAGTTTTTCTATAGTCCTGCTTCCATTTTGTTTCTTTTTTTTTTTTACTTTTCACGACTTGTTTTGGAGTGTGATGAATCCCCAGGGCTTCAAGATGAAGCTGAGTAATATATCTTTTCATTTCACCATGATGGCTAAAACCCCGTCTGAATCAAAGCCTGCATTTCATCATCTGTCCTTTTATTGTACATCTTGCTGCTGTTTCCAGTGGAGTCTCCTAGGCTAATGTTACTAGGCTAATGCTGCTGTATTTTTAAAATACCTGTTGTTTTGGTGCTTTCTGCTTGTGTCAGAGCCTGCGTTAGCTTTAGCCAATCAGTGCTGGGTTAACCTCAAGCCCCACCAGGAGCGGTTTAGGGCCCAACGGAGTACCTAGCATGGAGGAGGGACTCAGTTGAGCCCCATAAAAGTTCCTGTAAATTACCCCAAAGTTCCTGTGGTGGAAACGCGGCTAATATCACGTCCCCACCACACCTCATCCCCTCACTCCCCACTACCCACCACATCGACCCCCCTCATCTGAGCTTTACAACTGTGCTCAATCCCAGTTTCCGCGGCCACACGGCACCTAAAAGCACGGATCTAATGGCGACCTTGGTCTAGGCTCACTTTAACTGGGCTTTAGGTTGTGCTTGTGACTACAGCCTCAGTCTTCCGCTCCTCAGCTCCTTCAGTGGAAGAGTGCACCATACTAATCTGTTTATTTTCTGGACGTTCATTGATGCAGTTAACATTTAGCAACAACATGTTACTGCTAATGGTGTTTTAGCTCTTACGGCTCATGCTGCTTGTCCTACATCTTCTCAGGTTTAACTCGTAAAATTAGAATATCATTCATTACTCAATTCACTTCTGTAATTCAACTTACAATATGAGACCATTATGCCGAAACAAAGTGGTGAATATCAAGTCTCTGTTATATCTCACAACAACCCAAAATAAAGCATCTCAGACAATGAGAATGTTTTGAAAATGTACTGCATATTCTATGTTTGTTTCATGTTGAATTAGAGGAATATAAGAACTTTTGAATGATATTCGACTTTTGAGTTTCACTTTTTTCTGTTTCTAATGTACGCTGCTATTCCAATTAGCAGCGTACATTAGGCGGCATTGGGCGGCACGGTGGCTGAGTGGATAGCACTCTCGCCTCTCAGCAAGAAGGTCCTGGGTTCAAATCCCGGTCGGACCAGGGCCTTTCTGAGTGGAGTTTGCATGTTCTCCCCGTGTCTGCGTAGGTTTCCTCCGGGTACTCCGGGTTCCCCTACCACTAAAAATATGTACAATAGCTCTGGCATGTGCCTCCTGTACTGGCCCCGCTCCCATCTCTGTGTGGAGTGAGAGACAAGTGCCCAAAAAAATAATAACAATTGTAAACCGCTTTGTGACCCTTGTCTGTGAAAGGCGGTATATAAATAAACATTACTTACTTACTTACTTACTCTGAAGGTTCTTGCAGCAATGCTATAAATGATTGAGCCTCATTTTTGTTTCAACAGGCTTCCTCCAGGACCAGGATATAAACGCGAGTGATCAAATGTCACAACAGGATCCTTCCACATCCAGCTCTGCCCTTCCCCGGTACACGCACCAGTGTCGGTGGGCTCCTCTGTCGAGCCTGAACCCCCACAGCCTGACCTTTCCCAGTGGGGCCCCCATCCAGCTCCATGCGGTTCCTCCCGGCCTCCTACCCACGATCCCAGTCTTCTACGTTTGCACCAGATGTGGGAAAGTGTTCTGGGATGGATCACATTTTGAGCGCGTGCTGTCCATGTTTCAGGACGTCCTTCACGTCACAAACCCAGAGAACCAGGCAGCTGCAGCTCAATAATCAAGTTATTCTGATGGAGATTCAGACCACTTTAAGTTGTGCGCAGTAGCATCCACAGTTTATAAGTTATTTAGATTTAGTTTAGAGTGGTGGTAGAAGCTTCTGGACATCACCGCTTTTTGCACTTTTTTTTAACTTGTACAACCTTTGATATTTTGTTGAGGCAGAAGGCAAGTTTGTGCAAGAAGGGAGAAAACGGACCACACTGCTGTAAATTTAAATATGTAAACTCTGTTGTGGCCTGTGCTATATATACTATATATATTGTACGTTTATGTCAGTTTACCTATTTATCTTGTTTTTAAGATTGTTTATTGCCAACAACAAAACTAAATTGAAACACTCACATGTTCTTTGTTTTGCTTTTTTTTTAAATAGTTCAAATTATATTTTTAATCAATTGTCAAAAATGTATTATTGCTCATTGTTTTTAATTTTCAATGGACAGAGTTGTTCTACTTTTGTGTTAATTTTCTTTCCAACTTTTGTATGTTAATTTTAATTAAATTTTCTTGATTCAAAAAAGTTGAACTCGTTTGTACCATATTTATTAGGATGATCAATTCGTTAAATATTTTCATTGACTAATGACGCGACCGCATACAGTATATACAAAGTAGCAGTCATTGGAAGAGTTACTCATGCTGTCATACATAAACTAATGTGTGGTAGTAACCTCCAGACGTTGCTACTTTCAGTTATGTCTTTTGATTTTTGAATTCAGTATTAATTCATTTTTCAGACAGCAAATCTGATTTTTACTAAAAAGTCAGGGAAGTCCAGAACACATTCGACCAGATCAAAGGTGAATCAGATACAATCTCACTACACATTAGACAAGCTTTTACACAGGTTGGCTCCTCTTTTCATTGTATGAGGCCAAACATGCAATTTGACAAGAGATGTAGTGACCTGGGCTCGTGGATGTTTTAAAGATAATGTGCATAATATCTTGAATTGAAGATCCTGAATTCTAAATATTTGTTTGGTAACTTCAACGATGGCATATTTTGCAGGGAAAAACTGCATTTGACCTGACCAAACCTGGGCTTATATATATATATTTTTATTATTATTATTTTTTTAACACCATGTGATACAGATTCCATAAAAAAACATAAATTACTATGTACAACATAGTAGTGCAGAATATATTGGTGGGGGAGGGAAGGGGGAGTGGGGGGGGGGCATTTTTAAGGCATCCAGAGCACGAAACAAAGAAAACAAAATACTTAATAAAAAAATAAATTAACAAGCAAGTACTGTCGTGGAAATATGTAGGTGCTAATGTGTAAGTGTGGGTGTTAATGTATTTGAGTGTTTGTGTATATGTATAAATGTATAATAATGTAATAGAAAAACAGAACAATAACAGTAAATAAAAAAAAGAAAACCTGGGCTTATATATATTGACCAGTGGGGGAGGGTCCTGGCTCAAAAGTGGCCAAAATGACGTGCGCTGACATGCTGCAGTACCACCCCGGGCCTGTGGGGGTGGACCCAGAAGAAGAATTAGCCAATGCTAACATATAGCATTGGCAGACCTCTGGAAAACGTCTTTACAGGATGGACCGAAAGTTGTCTCTTGGCCCAAAGCTCCGTTCCACATGTGTGTCAATGCTGAGTGTTCTGGTCCAGTCTAGTTTAGTCGCTGTGATTTTTTGAAGTCTCTCGCTCAAATGAATGGAGTTGCGCCGGCTGACGCATGCGCAGATGCCTTTTTTCACAATTTTCTTGTGGGCGGGACCACTCGCGGCCATTTTGGATAGCTCCAGTAGAGCACATTTTTTTGGGCCATTAGTTAGAACAGAGGAGATAGGGACATGACAGGACCTTCAAGTCTTTAAAATCCGCAATGGTTAATATAAATTTTCCCATAAGTCATTTGTCTCCAGTGCATTTCAAGTGTTGTTTTAAATCTGGAGAAACTCTTCAGATAAGATTATGGAATATGGAGATTTAACCTGTACATGGTATTTTTTTTGTCTCAGTTGTATTGATAGAAATTCCACTGCAATTTGGTCTGACAGACAAACTTGTAATTGAAAAGCAACTTTTTATCTATTTTGCAATACTGGTTTTCAAGTAAACCGTATCTGTGCAGTTTTAAAATCAGTCAAATTAAACATTGTATTCCAATAAAAACCCAATCAGGAAAGCCATTTGGGTTGTGTCAGATTTCAGGACATAGACGGGAAAGTGGGGGTTGTTCTGGACTTTTTGAGATTATGAGGATTACTCTCCAGACGTGACTCAAAATGTTCTCAGTGAGAGCATCCATTTAAGCTCTGGCTCTTGTTGAATGAACTATTTTCCCATATGTTGCAATATCCCAATTGCAGCTTCAGACATGTGAACATTCTTAACTATGGATGAGTGGCATGTCTCTAGAACTGTCCAACCCCCTGTATGATGGAGACAAGCAATGACATCGGAACTCAAGTATGCAACTCTGTTTATGGGGCCGTGAAAGTGGCAAGTGCTTTGTGTTGCCCCTTTTTAAAGTTGTTATACAAAAAGTCTGGTTATACATCACAACACAGGCACATACAACATAAATGTAGCTTTGTTTCAGCATTTGTTTAAACTGGTTTTGATAAGATGAGACTTCAATCAATCTATCAAAGTTTATTTGTTGAGCGCCTTTCAACACAAAGCGCTTCACAAAGTCCACATCACAAATCATCACACAAAACAAACACCAGAAACACAATTAGAACATTAAAAACACACACAAATTAAAGCCATAAAAACTTTAAAATTACAGAGGGAATTAAAAAATAAAAAACCACGGTGCATTAAGAAATGTTGTTTTATGGAGACTTTTTGCTAATGTATTCCAATGTGGGTTATTTTTTACAGCAAATGGCAAATAAACTGAATCTGAATCAGAAATGAGCTAAAATCCTTCAGTTGTAGCACAGGCAAACAGAAGAGTCTTTAAACTGGATTTAAACTTTGTCAACGTAGACGCCTCTCTCACATTTTCAGGGAGACTGTTCCAGATTTTAGCAGCATAAACCTTGAGCGGTGCCTTGAGTTGTGTCCTGATTAGGGTTGGGTATTTTAGATAAGTAAAATAGTAAAGAACCACTATTTTTCTATTGATGAATTATTATGAAGCTAAAGCGGAGGGTCAGACTGAAAGACAGGACTAAGCTCACAGCGCTTCAAAGTCCTCCCACTGTTGCTCTTTTCTTTCTATATTCCTTGCACTGTATTTACTTCTATATGTATTTATTATTATGGATCTTTTTTAGCTGGCCATTACACTTTTGTTTTTTTTCTCATGATCACACATGAAAAGAGACTCCCCAAGATGCTCTGTCACGCTTATAAATATATTACAAAAGTATGCAGAAAAAGTCTTATAAAGGATCCATAGACTTTCTGTATGAATATGGCAGATTCTAGAAAAAAAGATTCGTTTTCAGCATTAACATTGTTCTGCATTGAGATTTCCACATCTCTTTCCCGTAAAGATTTAAATTACATGTCCCTTCTGTATCTTATATTAATTTTGACTTTATATCAGTATTAAAATTAAGATAATAAATACATCACACATGAAGCAAACACTTTCATTTTAGAAGATGACAACACTGAATGATTGAATCTAAATATAGATCATAAAGACTGATTAAATTTGTTTCATAATTCATTATTTTTGTCCGAACAGAAAAGTGTCATTGTAGAACATTATATATTTTACATACTGAGAACTTGTAGGTGTTTGAGGGGGGTCTTCTCTTTCGCATTTGTCTAACGTTGTCTGCATGTGAAAACTATAGTCATATAACCAGTTACATTGATTTTATTGAATATAGTTATTTTTGTGGTTTCACAGTTAGAAACTCCAGCTTTAAATAAAAACAATTGTCTTAAAATCATGTCTTTCGGATTATTCAAATGAAGACCTACAACCGCGGGATAACCCAACACGGCCCGAGGAAGTCTCGAAACACATCTGCGTCCGGGAAAATCTCAGCTAAATGACTTTGGGCCATTACGTCTCTAAAGTGGTTCTGTTTTTTTGTTTTTTTGATTGCAGTTTGAGAGAGTAGACGGCGGGTCCGGGTCCAGATTCAGCGCGTCTTATGTCCCGTGCTTGCGCGGGTGGTCGCATCGGCTTCTGCGCAGAGCGAGAGATTTCTGCAGCAGCTCCGTGTTATTTGATCCCTGCTCTTTCTTCGCTGGGAAGAAAAGCTCGCCTCTTTCCCACGCTCTGGGAACACGTGGTCCCCGGAATGAATTGGACTCGCTCGCCCCTCCCTCCAAGCGCGCGTCACGGCTCTCTATCTCTCTACCCTCTCACACAAACGCACTGTGCACCGTAGGAACCGGGTTTAAATAGCTCATATTAATAACATTCAACTCGCATTCCAATCAACGTTTCTCATTGTAAGCGTTTGCGGAGAATCTGGATTTTGGATTAGTTGTTCTAGAGTGGCCTCGCACCAACCACATCCTGACAGTTCTACGCAAACAGCCTGCGCCTCGTTCAAGAGAATCTTACGTTTATGATCAGAATTTTGAGGCTCAGTGACTCAGTTGGTATAGACAGCATTGGCCTTCGAACCCCCCCCCCCCCCCCCCCCCCCCCCCTCAAGACCTACTCCAACTGCTCCCTTGGGCAAGGCACTTCACCTGTTGCCCAAAGTCCCCTCTTAAAGAATAAGGCTGTGTCACCGCTCAGCGAGGGTCTGGTGCTATGAGCATTGGCAGCTCTCATTGTCACCCGCCACCAGAAATGGATTAATAATGGGGTAAAAAAATGAACGAATGAAAGATAAAAGTGTTTGTTTACAAAAAGTAAGGCCGGGCCCACATAGAAATGTTTAATATAGGCCCATCAGTTTAAATAAACTTTTGATTTTATGTGGATATAAACTTCAAACAGAACTTAGAAATAAGCTAAAATACTGAGTAGATTGTATAATTATAGTCACTACTGTTTGCATTCTCAAAGACTATAACTTTAAGTTGCATTCTCTCTCTCAAATATGCTCTCACTAGCACTGCACTGCGTGCTTGAGGATTCATCTCTTTCCCACATTCACAGCATCAGAATGGAGCTGTGGTGGGGGAAAGAAACCAGAGCAAATGCCACAGAGTTTAGAGGAGAAACTCGTCCAATCAGAGAAACTTTTGGCTCCTGTTGCGGTCTCTGCAAATGTTTTCCAAGTGTCCAGACGCAGAGCAGCCAGGAGCGCATATAGCGTACAGATGTTCCTGATTTTCACAAAGATACTCTGTGCTATTTATTATGCACAAGAAAATAGACAAATGTGTGCAGAAAGTGGACAGAACTGTGAGGAAAAGTTCGGCTTATCATTTTTCTATTGTCTGATAGATTGATCAAAGCACTCTCAACTGCTAACTCTGGCAATGAATGACCATAACCTCTGAAAGCTCTAACAGCTGTGGACGCCTTGCAAGAAAATCCAAATAGAACATTAACCAGGGATTTTACAAATTTTTTTTTGAATCAATTGGTTAATGGCATTAGTCAAAGTGCCCTTCTACTAATAACCGGACAATATGCCTCTGATCACGTGTCCATAAACTTTTGAATACTTGTGTGATCCATGTGCTCAGCATGTTGAACAAAGTGCAGGATTAGACTTTAACCATATAATTATAATTATAATTTAGTAACGAATACATGTCAGGTGTGAAATGATCAGTCATCACCTGGTTTTGTTCCATCTGTTCATATGGACTATGACTATGACGTGGTGAAATGCTGCAGAACTGAACATATGAAAAGTGGGACTCTGAGAGAAACTATTTGAGACTGCCTCGACATCTGCAGAAGCACAGCTGTGTTTACATTCATCTGAAATATAGCTCAATATTATTTCAGAGACATTCTTTATAAATATACCTTCATATTTTCCAGGTCCATCAGATCTGCCTCATCATGACAGTAGTTTGAGAAGAAAAACTGAGCTTAGACTGGAAAACCAACACCTTTATTCAAAACAGACTTCAATCTGACCAACGCTGCTGTTTCATACTTGACTTCTTTCTATGGATTTGTTTAAATCCTCGATGAGCTTCAATTAGATAAATTATGTCGATGTTTATTTGTAATTTGGTTTGTCACTGCACATTTATAGCACTCTGACACTATAGTAATTACATAAACACTTTTCTTTAGGAATAAAACTCCAAAAACTCTATAAAACCTCTATTTTTGCTGCTGCGGCTCCTCACAGCAGCTGCAGAACGCTCCATTGATTTTAATGTCATTTCAAAACTTTCTACCGGTCATTATTTCTTTATAACCGACCTCTCAAAACAATAATGACCGCTGCCCTTTGGCAACGCACTCTCTGCTTGTAATGCAGATGTGTAGATTACTCCGCAAGTAGTTCCGGCCACTTCGTCACTACTACTGTCTCTGCAGAGAAGCTATCGGAGCCACGCTCAATAAACTCTTATAAGAATAAATCAACACATTTAAATGTTGATCGGAGAATACATTATACATAAACATTACACACACAGAGGTTTTCAGAATGAGCTGTTAACGTTTCATGACAAAAATACTGTTTTAATGTGACAAGAAGCGATAGCGGTAAACCCGGAAGTAACCATTAACATAAAATAACACTTTAAGACACATTTGCAGAGGATGGAATTATGGATTTAGGTTGAGTTTATGTTTGGGTCACTCACCGCTGATGTTCAGGATTCTTTGTTCCGTTTTCAAGGAGAGTTCTAGTTTTGAAGCTGTTACTCGCCTGCCACGGGAAAACCTTTGGGAACTATTTGATTTTCTGTCATTAAATAAACCTTTCAGCATTCATAAGAGTGGACTGAAGTTTATTTTGTGTGTGTTCGGTCTTGTAAACAGAAATGGCGTGTTGATAAGGTACATACAGGTATCACCAAATGTCAGACCTTTTTACAGATGTGCCCGGCCCAGTTCTTCCTCAGGTGATGTGGATCAAGCAGAGAACATGAATCCCTGTTATATTTCAGCTTTACTTTATATCTTTGCTTCACTTCTTCAGTCAAATAATTAACACAAGATGGTAAAACTTACGTATACTGCTTGCCTCGAACTATTAGACATGTTGACATATTCATTCCAGTGAGAGTGGGTCCTGGCTCCAAAAGGTCCATGACCATGTGCGCTGACATGGATGCAATCTCAGACGGTGGGGGTGGACCATGAAAGAGAACTACCAAGTGCATTTGTATGACATCTTCTTTCCGCTCAAAAACGGCTTTACAGGATGGTCCAAAATTTGGCTCTTGGTCCAACGTTCTACGTTCCAGATGTGTGTGTCAATCCTGAAGGGATTTTTGGACCGGTCTAGCATAGCCGCTATGGACTTTTGAATGCACTCATTAAAAGAATCTGGCTCAAGTCGACTAATGAGGCGCAAATGTTTTTTTGCTTTTTTTCCTTTCCTGCCCTGTGGCCATTTTGAAAAATCCCACTGAAGTCAAAAGTAGTGATACATTTGTTTCAACGGAGGAGACCGTTAATATTAAGTCTAATTCTTTCTCACAACCAATCAGCGATCACGCCCATATCATGACGCCACCCTTAGCACTGGCTACCACCCCTTTGGGCTTTTAACACGATTATTACTTTTTATTGTACATAATATATCCTGCATTTAATATGTTTGCACATTTCGTTCTTTTTTCACAATCTTCAGTGATTCTATCCATGCCAGATGTGACATGTAAATTTCTCCTCTGTGAGATCAATAAAGTCTATCTTATCTTATCTTAGACATGGGGAATATCTAATATTCGAATTAAATAATTGATATGCCATAAACGCTGGTGCAGTAAGTTGTGACTTTCATGCTTTCACACGGTGCAGATGGAGCCGCAGACGTGCGCCAAATGTACAGCTGAGTGTGGGAAATGGAGACTAGTCACAACCGCTAACCCGCACCAGAAAGAGCGGGTATGAAGTGTTACAGACGGGCAAACGGTCCGGAGATGCTTCACGGCTGTGCCTCCCCTTCTCACTCTGCCTTGTGCACACTCATGTGTTACTATATCTGCAACTCTATTACAAGTACAGAGCTGCAGATACCTTTCTCACACTCTCGCAGACGCCCAGTTCCCACGGTGGTGGGGTCTGCTGATCAGCGTGTCAATCTGCGCACAGCGTCACCTCTTTTCACTTGCAAAAAGGAAGTAGCCCAAAGCTTTTGTTATGTCAAGTCCTAGTCTCATTTAAAAACAACTGGAATATATCCGCAGTTTATGTTCCACCCCCTGCCTCCTGCACACAGCCGCAATGAACATGTAGACGTTTGTAAAGCTTGTAAAACAGTGAGATTAGGCCAATGTACAATAAACATATATTCCTATCTTTTGACCAAACGTTAGATCCGGTGGATCTAATGTTCCACTCTCAGGTTTCAATTAGTCATCTGTATAATGTAGTACTAATGAGTCAGTGACCTTGTAATACACGAGTTAGTTCGCAGAGGTCGATAGGCTTAAATAACCGGAAATATCTGGGAAACTGGGCAGATGTTACTTTAGGATATTTGTAATCAAACGTTATTACCCCTTCATTAAAGATGTTAGACTGCTGTGGAATGTAAGACTCTGATTTAAAGATCTCTAAATCGCTCACACAGCCATTCAACCATCGCCTTTCCACTATACCTTCTACATGGCTGCTTAAGATTAAAATAAAATAAAATACATCGCAGCATTACAGTAGAAACATTCGCTCCTTCTTCAGACCACGCCTCTTTGTGCACGTTCATGGGACGTAACCGCACCCCCTCCACAGCCAACAGCCTATAACATCTCCGAGTTTCCGCCCATTCCTCCACAGTTGATTCTCTGGGACAGTATTGTCATGCAAATAGAAGACGCGTAAAACCTTCTCCAAAGCTAAGGGGACAGCAGAAACTCACGGAACGCATGCAGGATACGCACGGCCCACACCTCGGATTTCAAGCGTTCAACTCCGCGGCGCCGTCCATCCGTCATAGGTGAGCACCAACCCTCACGTTTTAGGTTTGAGGCTATGTGTCTGTGCGTAAAGGTGTGCGCTCTAGTTCGAGCCATGTGTATGAGTAAAGGAATGCTGTGTTCAGGTCTCACCCTGTCCTTATCTTTGAACAGCCCCGGTGCACTTTTAGTAATGTGTGTTTTGTTTTATTAGACGTGAACAGCGGCGAAGGGAACGCGAAGGAACCAGGTCCAAGTTAACGGGAGCGCGTGGACGCGCGGAGTGGACCATCAGCCCCTGCGCCAGACCAATCACATCTCCGCGCGGAATACCGTCATATATGCTCCACATGCCCTAGACGTCTACGGATTCAAAGTTATCGTTTGCACACTGCTTGTGCTTTCCTCGTGTTCTTTTTGGATATACTACACAGTGGTCTCTCCTCCCGGAATAGGCTTCTTGTTAGTGCCTTAGCGTGGCAGTGACCCCCGTGTCCCTGTTAGGACCTTTTCCAGCTCTAGATACAGGATTATAGTCCCGTCTGCCCAGCTTCAGCCATGAGCCAGGCGGACGTGTCCACATGCTCCGCGCCACAGCGGGTTTTTCAGGAGGCGGTGAAGAAGGGAAACACCAAGGAGCTACATTCATTGCTCCAAAACATGACAAACTGCGAGTTTAATGTGAACTCGTTTGGTCCCGAGGGCCAGACGGCCCTGCATCAGTCTGTGATAGATGGCAACTTGGAGCTGGTCAAACTGCTTGTCAAATTCGGGGCGGACATCCGACTGGCAAACAGAGAAGGATGGAGCGCGTTACACATCGCCGCTTTTGGGGGTCACCAGGACATTGTACTATACCTCATCACCAAGGCCAAGTACTCGTCTGGCGCCCGGTGATCTGCGGTCAGGTAATCAATCAGCAAAAGCAACAAGCATCAGTAGACCATAAACTGCAGGCAGGATGCAGAACTGTCTTTACTTCACAGTTGTGCCAAATGATCTGAGTAAACCACACAGGGCTGCGCAGTTCTCCCTCAGTGTAAACCAAACGGGGTCCTGCACGTGCTCCTGGGCCAAACGCAAGAGCAGCCGCGCATAACACGTAAAGTAGCGTGTTTGGTACTAAAGATGTCCTCCTGAATGTCTCCCACAGCGCGTCGTTCACAGGCTGCTGCTGTGCGATTGGCCGAAGAGCTGCAGTTGTCCCAGTTTCTCCATCCTCAGTACAGTTGAATGTGTGGACTCGGGTCTGACCCATGGATCCTCATTGTTAAAACTTCCTAAGTTATTTTAAAGAAACATGCACTTGATGTTAAAGCTGTATGCTGGAATACAAGCGCTGACATGGAGAAGAAGCTGCCAGCTGTCGGCTTATTTGAACAACTTTTTACTTCAACGTGATCACTTTCAGACGTGTAATCATGAACAATTGACTGTGGGGAAGTACTGTACACAATAGCTTTACTTTGTGCATTTTAAAGAGACAGTACTGCTGGCGTCCCATCTTTTCAGGCCAGTGTCAATGTGACCCTTTTTGCCAATGGTCAATGTGTTACTAAAACCGCTGCTTTCGCTTTGTATCATTTGGAAATTCACTTTATAATCTCCTTTCAGTATTTTATTAACATCCTAGTCATCACTGTGAAAGCAGGCTGGGTTTTTTTTATTTATGAAGGTACATTGAGAAGATATTTTTTGAAATATGTCATGGTTCATCATAAAAAGTGAATCTTGGGTGACTCAAGCTGCTGCATACTTGTAGTATAACTGTCCCGCATGGAGAGTCCATTTAAAGCACCCCACATTAACATATAGGCTCTCTTCATCAAGTGGCTTTTCTTCTCCCAATGTTCTGTTTGGTTTGCCTTTTGCCAGCTACCTCGACTATTTAGTGTCCCCATGTCTGTTTTTACCGCCTTTTTGTAAGGATTCACATGAATACGCTTCTAAATGGATTTTCCGACATCTTAACCCGGGACAATTTGTTTAACACTACTACCAAATTCTCAACATTTCAAAAGCACATATATATGCTGCCATTTCCAACATGCTACCTGTCCTCCAAGATCATTTCCAGTCCGGCAAAGAGTGGAATTGTATCTTTGAAATGCAGGGAGTTTTATTGCACACAAAATCAAAAAGATGCAGTCTTGCGAGCCCCTGGTGTCGGCCTGGGGGGCCTGCTGGCCTCTTTGAATTGTTACGACTACTGAGCAAGACCCTCATACTGTTGGACTTTGAAGACAAAACAATAACTCAACTCATGACCGCGGTGGGACTTCCCTTTGGAATTTGGTAAACTCGCCCGCTCCATGTGCCGAAAAATTCAAGACACCCTAACATTTGTATCAATGCTGCTTGTATGTTTGATATTTGTATGCTATATTTTAAGCCTACTGCTCAAAATGGCCAACAGTTTTATGAAAGCTTCACAGTTGCACAGGTTCACCTCATAAGAAATGCTTTGTTTGGTGGAATGAGTGGTGTGTGTGTGTGTGTGTGTGTGTGTGTGTGAGCTGTGGTGAAGCCTGCGCAGCGTGAAATGTCTAATTACCTGGAGAGGAAACGAGTGAAGTCATCCACAACAAAGTCGAGATTGGTATCAAACATCAAACATGAAATATGCATCACTTGTCTTAAACTTGATGTTTTTTTTCTTTTTGTTTGAATATTGCACTGATGACTGTTGTTGAAACGTTGGCTGTTATATGTCAACATTTAAATTTTTTTCTGATAAGAAAAAACAAACACAACAAGATACTATTGTATGAATATATGCTCCAGGTGATGTTGTCCTAATGTCTGTTACTTTGTTAAAAACATGATGTTTTTAACAAAGTTGTTTTTAATGGGTGTATGTATATATACATATGGATATATATATATATCGCTGATGATATCCTTGGGCACTTTCTTTTTGAAGTGCTGTCTTCCTATTATTGTTAAAAGGGGAATAATACATTTGATGGTAAGATCATTGAATAAAAATGGGTTGTTTGGTTCTTCAGGGTCATAACATTTATGACGTATGGAGACGCCTGCCGCCTACTCAGTACATGAGAGAGAGGACTTTTTCACATTTTTATTTTATTTTTGAATGAGAAAAAGGGTGGCATTTTATTTTATTTTCCTTGGACCAAATTGTGTTTCTTATGCTTCTTTTTAAGTGGGAAGAGATTACAACTTGATCCTTTTTTCGTTTTATCATTTTTCTTTTTGAACGTTTGTAACACTGTGATGATGACGTTGTGTCATGTGGAGATGAGTGCTGTATTATTTTTGTACATTTGTGTACAAGCCAGTAAAGAAATCATTAAACCCACTATTCAGTCTATGTATTTAATTGTTTCAATTAATATATAGTATTGTTTACAACCCTTAAGTGGGCAAGTGTGCATTTCTACTTCTTGAAAATAATGCAGGGAATGCTTTTTTCTTGTGGTGCAACTGCTTTTCCTCGTGCACCTCCCCCTGCTGCTCGAGCATTTTATGTAGAATGGACTGGTTTGGGAAACACCCCCCTCTTCGCTCGTCTTCTTCCAAACTAGAGCCCAACCCAGATCCCCATTCTCTGCCTTTGTCATTCATCTGTTCTCATCCTTTCACTGCCGGGATAAAAGATCGCAGTGCATTCTGGGTAGGCTTGGTTTAAAGAAGCCTCCTTCCCCTCCCCTGTGTGTGCTGCAGGTTTTATGTTACCCCACAAAAAAACTTTCCAACACTGCTCTTGTTCCCACTTTGGAATGATGAAGGCCCAGTCTTTGCACAACACTCCTCTCCCTTAGATCCTGCACATTTCAATGTGAGAATGGTTTTATTGGACACTTGCACTTGTAACACAACACTAATTGCTTTACATTCAAGGTTTTTACTATTGCTTGATCTAACATGCGTTCATTTACAGCTTAAAATGCATAACACCAAGCCGTTATGGATGAGGTGCAATTGAAAGAACATTACACATACACAAATCATATGCTTAAACTCATTATGAAACTAAGCAACAGGAGTTACAATGGTTTCAACATGGAACATTAAAGCTGCTAAGTATAGAGTGAGTTAGAGATACTAAATAAAACGATAAAAAGAGTACACAATTGACCGTTCTTGAGATTAACTGTGGTATTATATTTAATGCAGTGTTTTAAGACTTGGTATCAAGATTATATTTGAAATGTAATGTTGTGACAATACTACATCGTAACCTTTGTCAGATCAGGAACTTGCTCAAAGGTGCAACCATCGTATAAAGGCTGTGATGGCCAAAATTAATCCCATGAATTAAAAAAATATCCCCTGCTACTTTCAAGCAGAGGCCTTTTTTTTCATTGAAAGCCACAACTTCTTTATTTTGTGCTGCTACATGAAGATATATCAAACTTTGTCTAACAACTTTTAGAGCTGTGAAAAGATGCATTTATCTAAAGGTTTCCATTGTAACTACCACTCATATTTCAGTTTCAGCCTCAGCACTTGAATAAATGACTTGCCAAATTCTCTGGGACTAAACTACACATTTGTTTTTCTACCCTCTTTTTGCCGACATGATGCCCCCAAGTCTTGGCAGGACTCCCTTTATTTCCCAGCACATGTTTTGCAAAAGCTGCCTACGTCCCTGTCTCCTGGATATAGTGTTGTAGCTGCTGATAATGCTCGACTGCGGGAGGGTCGTGGGAACGCTGACACAACAATGCATCTTTCTACATGTTGGACCTGTTTGTGTTGCAACCGGCTGGGTGTAGTAGGTATCAAACAGTTTAGTGACAAAACGTGTTGCATTAGAGTGTACATTTTGTCCAAATTGTAATCAAACACTAAAGTTATTCTCCAATAGGCCGTTTCCAACCCATACGTTTATCTCCCAGGGCAAATGTTAATACTATTTTCTCTGTTCATTTGTTTAATTTTTGTTTGACTTCTTTATAATACAAAATATAAAAGCATTGTTCTTGTGAAATCCAAGTCTTGATCCTAGACAGAAGAATGGTTAACGATACTGTTTATTCTATTCTGTTCTACGGTCTGCTGCTAAAACTCACTTCACCTATGATTCTAGTTCTGCAAATGTTGACAAATGCTGAACATATTTGTGCACATTGTCATCATTTTATTGACAGTAAATCAAATAACTTTACAAAACAAAGGAAACATTGCAAGCATAATACAAAGTGACAAAACCTCAAATTATATTAATCACTGTATATAAGTTAGAGTAAGTTAGAGTGCAGATGTAATTGTTGAGATACCGTAAAAAAAACAGCAAAACAGTTTAATTCCTAATCCATTCAAATGATCTGTCTACAGCGCTAAATCAATTGTCTCAGAGGAATTTTCAAAGTTGTCGATTCACCAACAACAGATCCAGGAATCAAATAGTTTGATCACAAAATGGCTTCCGTGGGAGCCATTGACCCCCACGGAACACGACCAGAGGTTGTTTCACAAGTTCAGGAAGACTGTTCCGAGCGGCACACATCTGCAGACTCCCCTCTAGTCCTGACTCAGGGAACCAGCAGGAGACCCAGCAGGAGACCCAGCAGGAGATCCAGCAGGAGAACCAGCAGGAGTTCCAGCAGGAGAGCCAGCAGGAGACCCAGCAGGAGATCCAGCAGGAGAACCAGCAGGAGTTCCAGCAGGAGAGCCAGCAGGAGACCCAGCAGGAGATCCAGCAGGAGAACCAGCAGGAGTTCCAGCAGGAGAGCCAGCAGGAGACCCAGCAGGAGATCCAGCAGGAGAACCAGCAGGAGTTCCAGCAGGAGAGCCAGCAGGAGACCCAGCAGGAGAGCCAGCAGGAGAGCCAGCAGGAGACCCAGCAGGAGACCCAGCAGGAGAGCCAGCAGGAGACCCAGCAGGAGACCCAGCAGGAGACCCAGCAGGAGACCCAGCAGGAGACCCCGCAGGAGAGCCAGCAGGAGACCCAGCAGGAGACCCAGCAGGAGAGCCAGCAGGAGACCCAGCAGGAGACCCAGCAGGAGACCCAGCAGGAGACCCCGCAGGAGAGCCAGCAGGAGACCCAGCAGGAGACCCAGCAGGAGAGCCAGCAGGAGACCCAGCAGGAGACCCAGCAGGAGAGCCAGCAGGAGAGCCAGCAGGAGACCCAGCAGGAGAGCCAGCAGGAGAGCCAGCAGGAGACCCAGCAGGAGAGCCAGCAGGAGAGCCAGCAGGAGACCCAGCAGGAGACCCAGCAGGAGACCCAGCAGGAGACCCAGCAGGAGAGCCAGCAGGAGACCCAGCAGGAGACCCAGCAGGAGACCCAGCAGGAGAGCCAGCAGGAGAGCCAGCAGGAGACCCAGCAGGAGACCCAGCAGGATAAGTTATTATTTATGAACAACTAAAAAAGTCGTACAAATCTAATGATAATAAATGTACAATTTTGGGCATTAACCAAATCTACCTATAATTATTTAATTATTTACATGATGGGCAAACAACACTGCCCTATTACTTAAAAAAACAAAAAAGGTGACTTTGGAACTGCAGTAGTATTTGGCTTTGGTTTTATGAGTATTATTGAACACAATTTACCTCTGTGCACAAGTTGAGGAGGATCATTTGACACTGCAACTCCAAACGTTTCCTGATTCATTTTGCTGAAAAGTCAGAAAATCAAATGAAGCTATGATCAAATGTTTGTATACTGCAAGACATTAAGTATGATATAAAACCTAGGGTCATATAGATGGAGTTGAGGAAAAAAAAGTTCCACCCTGACTTGATTGGAACAGTCCTTCCCACTTGGCAAAAACACCTGCGTTTTCTGAGTGTGCAACTTCCTTCCACAACAAGCGACACAGGCTTGGGGTTGATGAGATCTACTCATTGAACAAGGATAAAGTCTCTTGTCTTACACAAAAACACAACAGCAATTTATAACTTCAAATTAACAAATGAATTACAAGAATTTATTTTCCTTTTTTTGAAGTTCATCTTTATCATAATATAAAATACTTTTGTAGTAGTGTCGAGAAATGAACACAAGGCAGCAACGATGGCATCTGTACATGGTTTATTTTCGAGTCAAAAGACCAGAAGATGAAACCTCTTGAGATATGAATGACTCATGCTTAAGATTTAGACACTGTAGTAACAACGTGGTCAAAACAAATGTGATCAATTCTTCAGAAAACAATGTTTATCAGAAATACAGATGAAACAGGGGTCCGCAGTACAAATATGTAGGTCAGGTTCTCCACAGTAGCATTACTCAAAAGGAAACGTTAATTTGATTCCCAAATCGACAATAACAAAACAACACTGAAGTCCACGCTGGATTCCCTGTCGCTGTCCGGTGACAGTGAGCTTTAAATCTTGCTGATATTGCACTCTTGTCAGTCACTGAAAAAAACATGTCTGTGGCTGTCTCCCACCCCTTGCAGACCCCCGCCTGTCCCAGTCACTGTGTATGCAGCAAAGTAAAAGTGAGAGAAAGACAGGTGGTTGGGCCGGTCCTCTCCTTGCCCTATGCTCCTTTTTGAACTTTTTTTCTCTTTATTCACCCAGTTCATTCGTTGCTGCTTTTCCATATAGCACTAGTGACAAGGCGCTCCATTCACAAGCTCATTCTTCCAGGCCACCCCTCCCTTGCCGCTCTTCCTTTTGTCTCGCTCGCGGGGCCTGCTTTTGCTATTCACCAGCCAGACGGACCGCCATTGACTGGACCCCCCCCACACCAGCAACACTACCCTAACCCCCCCACCATCCCATCACACACATATGCACGCAGCAACCTGGCCAGTCCCCACCCAGCACCGGTCTCTATTAGGCAGCTGCTATGCTAATGAGTAGAAAGGCATGGATGGAGCAGGCAGCCTATAGTTGCAGAGTGACCCCATGTCCATGCCAGAGCAGCAGCAGACCTCCTGTTACACAAAGGGACAGCCCCCTCCCCCATGTGCTCCTCTGCAGGGCCTTCTCCTTTCTCATTCAAATCCATTTTATACCCCAGTGGTAAAGGGAGCGGTAAGTGCAGTATGTAAAGTAACTCTACTCCTGCCCCGCGGGCGTAGCCATTCAGAATCCTGCAGATACACAGAGCCCTGTGTCCACTGTGTGTAGGACCCATACCTTTACACATATGTGGCACCTGTCCCAGAAGCAGAGAATTCTCTGTGCTGTGGTCATGGCGTGGGTAAAGACAATGTTCAATTTACTGAGGAGATTTTTGTTTGGCAGGTTAATCCAGCTCCAAAAAATTTACAAATTTTAGTCATAACAATGAAGAAAGTTACAAATGATGAACAATCATGAGCCTGGCATGATTTGAAATCTTATTCTAGTGATTTCCCTTTCTCTACGCTTCTCCAACTTCCAAGAGTGTCATTTAATTACATGACAGAGTGTCCAAATGTTTGCTTTTAAAAAAAAAATCATAATCAAATGTTATACCATTTTATGTTGTATCATTTGGCAACAATAATTATTGTAGTGTTGGCTCACATTTATAACCACTTCTTTCAAACACTTTTGTGATGTAATAATAATAATATTATGCAGTCGCATTGTTTGATAGTGTTGTTTCCATTTGAAATTGCTCTTGTTTTCAATTCACTGAGAGTTTTACCTGAGCTGTTTAAATGGCCCATTAGGATTATTCTGTCAACAATTGCAGGTGTTGTGTGTGGTCTTGTGTTGCCATGTGTTGGTATGTTTGTATTATGGAGAATGCATCCTTGCATCTCCATGTGTTTTGGGGGAGGTGTTGTTGGAAAGAAGCTCTGTTCTGTTATTTAGCCTTGCTGTGCAGTGTGACCCTGTGCCCCATCAGGGAGGGACTCGTATTTGACATCTGCCTGTTTGCAAGGGGAGAGGCTTCAGGATACGAGGGGTGGGGTGCCCATATGGACTCCAGCTCCACCCAGCTCCACCCAGCTCCACCCTGATACATCATATCTCCTGCTGCTGCAAGTTTGTGTTTCACTCGTTCCCATTCCAGAGCACTACGAATAGAGCTTTTTAAGGAACCCCTTAAGATATTAACACCATCAATTTGAAAAAGAAGTCTAATACAAGTTAGCTGCATAAAATATATTGAGAAAGTCCATTTTCATTTAGACGAATCAGATATGATATAGAAAGAAATACTTAATTTGTGAGATTATGTCAGTGAGTAGATAAAGCAGCAGCAATCGCACCTGTAATCGCTGGTGCAAAATAAACCAGTTTATTTTGGAGCTCTTCCAGATGTTACGAAAGAGGACAAAGCTTTTTAAATGATTAGTATCAATGCAAAGAAGAACAGAGATGTCATCACTTGAGATATTAATGACACATACATAATATATAGATATTAGTAACAATGTGGGTCAGAATCAATGCCTTCAATTTCTTCAGATAACAATGTTTCGCAGTAATTCAGGGGTTTTCAGTGCAAAATATGCAGGTTCAATTTCACACTATCCCCAACCTTTATGAAATAAGAAACAAGGACAGTTTCAATACAAATTACAAAAGCAGTTTTATAGGATATACTCAAATACAAGTTAAACGGCTATTAAAATTATTCGAAATTTAACTCGGGAGCTGCTTTAAGATAAGAATAAGAAATATACTAGATATACATAATAGTAATATTAGTGACATTACAGACTATAACAGTTATGCTACATGATCATGTACCACATATGAACAAAAACAGATTGGTAAGATAAAGCTTACTTTATTGCACTAGTAAAAATGTTAGTTGGTAGGGATATTGCAGCGATGATAAAGACAGGACTGTTCTGAGCCACAGGAAGCCAATTAAGAGACCTGAGAACTTAACTGGGGCAGGCTGTTACAGCGGTGGTGCAACCTACCCCGTCTAAGCCTGGTTTAGACACAATAGGTTTTATTATTTCATTTTATTTTTAGACCAAAACAACCATTTCAGTTTTGTCTGAGTTAAGCTGGAGAAAACGGTTGTCCACTGGCCCATGTTCTATTGCAGTCACAAGACTATCTCGTCGTCCGAGTTTCCGTTTCTCTTCCTGGCTACTGTGGCCAACCGGCTCGGGTATGAATCGCCTTCTTTGCAGCTAGTATTATGGGGTGTTCGGACCTGACGTCTGTTCACAAAAAGCCGCTAGCTTATTTACTATAGCTTCAGCCACTTCAGCCGTGCGCAAAAGCAGGGCAGTACTTAATTCTGTGTCTGAAATTTAGGGAATGTGCGTCCAGTGCGCATGGAAGTTCGTTCAAGCGTCGGCAGTCTGAAGGTTGCATTAGTCAATGTGTACAATTGTGAGATGTGTCTTTCTCCAATGTGCAATAGCTTAGTGGGTAATGTGTGTATGTTTGTGTGTGGGCGCACGGCGGACCTCATCCCCCCATTCCCCACCGCCCACCACATTAACCCCCCCTCATCTGGGCATTTCCAACTGTGCTCAGGCCCACCTTTCTCAACTGAACTCCAGTTGCTGTGGCCACACGGCACCTAAAGCCTGGATCTAATTGTTATCCCGCGTGAATTTAGTCTGCAGCACAGCTCAAAGCTAGTATTAGCCTATCCAAATATTTTAACAGATCTATGCTAGAAGCATACATAGCTAGTTAGTGTAACCGCCGCCATTGTTGTTTACGTTTGTTCTCGGCTTCCACGCAATAGCATAGCAGGTAGACAATTCCCATCTTTTTCTTCACACGGTTGTGAAACAGCCCGACGCTGAGCAGCGTATCTTTTCTGTTCCATTCTAGAGGCTGGTTCTCAATGCTTGCGTTTTAACCCCCTTGAAACACCGTCTCCAAACCGATACCCAACTCTACCGTTTTACAGCATTGTCGCATTGTCTCCGTATAAACGGGGACAGTCTCACACACAGACAAGACTGGGACTTTACAGCGGAGTCAGTAAAGTGTCAAGATTCCCACATTGCCTAGTATGTCTGATATGTGCATGAATCGTGAGTGAAGTTGCCAAACTGCTCAGAAGGAACACACCCAGGTTGTGACATTATTCGTGTAGAGCAAACAAGACACAAAAAACATTCATGTGAACTTTATTGCGTTTTAATATATTGTGTGTTTAATATCTTATTGTATCTTTAAATGCCATATGGTATATTTGAAAGAACATAGCAAGCTGGGCGTCCATCTGTACTCTCCAGCCTGTGTTTTTGAGCTGGTTCTGTGGATTAGGCTCTGGCACAATGCTTCAGTGTGCGGAGCATATATAGGCTAACGAGCTGGAGCTCTGTAACGTACAGAGTAACAGTGACCATACTGTGGCTGATACTGTTGGACTGAGGATCTGCCGTCATTGTGTACTCCTTTTTGCCATAATGCCACTGTTTAAGGCTTAAAGTGAATAAGGCTATTAGCACATATTGTGGCACAGCTGTGCAGCTATTTTGTACAATTA